TATGTATTCTTATAAACCCTATTTCACATGATCATTACATTGCTCTATGTTATGCATCATGATAAAACATCTTCTCAACATTTTTTTCTATGAAAGGGTAAAACTCATATAAAAGAAAAAACTCTCCCTTCTAAAATCTCAGAGAATGTAAAGTATAAAACCAAAGGTCTTTAAGCTGATCTTTGATAGGCAACAAAGAGATTCAAAATCACTCTCTTGGGCTTCCCTGGTGGTGCAGTGGTTGAGAGTCCGCCTGCCGATGCAGGGGACGCGGGTTCGTGCCCCGGCCCGGGAAGATCCCACATGCCGCGGACCAACTGGGCCCGTGAGCCATGGCCGCTGAGCCTGCGCGTCCGGAGCCTGTGCTCCGCAACGGAAGAGGCCCGCGTACCGCAAAGAAAAAAAAAAAATCACTCTCTTAACTGCTTGGTAAGTAATTATACCTCAATATTTGTTAGGTATCTAAATATGTTTAGCATTGCACTAACCTGAAGGTGTAAAAAGTTAGAGAAGACAAGTCCTTCCTTCAAGGCTCTTACGATCTGGTTAGGAATCATAAACAACAACATAAGAAAGCAAATGACTGAAAACTTAGAACTTGAAAGGCAGGGTGAAGATATAAAAATAGAAAGGAATTTTGGCCAAGATTTCCTAGAGTAAGAAAGTATTTTTTAACTAAGTTTTGAGGTAGCAAGTTATGTGATTAACAAGTGTTGCCCATGGTCAGTCATTGTTATTGTTGTTATTACTACTTATTTCACAAATGCGAATGTTTCTTTTTCCTTTAAGGACTATGTTATTGAGTCGAATATTTACTACTTTACCTAGGTTATCTATATAGCTCCAGGTATATACAGAAAGAATAACTTTTCAAACAGAGCTATGGTTACTCATGTTTATTAAATAAATCATTTATTAATTGTTAAGAATGTTCCCCAAAGAACATTTGTCATCAAAGCATTACATCTCCCAGACAGAACAGTAAAGTTCAGTCATGTTTTTTTCTAAAATAATGAAGCTATAACAAACAATGTGAAGACATACTAATAATATTCATTAAATCAGCACCAACTGGAATGTTTTCCCCTTGAGACTGAGAAGTTGATATTCTTAATACCTAATAAAAATGGGGATGACTTCACCCAGTACTCTGTCTAAGCAGAAAACAAACACTGGGCCACAGAGATACCTACCAATTCCAGAGGACACCTTCAGAGACACTTTCAGGTCTGTGATAAACCTTTTGATAGTTAACAAATACCCATCCAATGGAATGAGAACACAGTATGAGGAATAAGAACTGAGCACCACAAAACATCCTGTCTTAATTTAACTCCAACCCCAAACAACATATTTCCTAGCTTTGGAAAAGAAAAGATGTGAGAGTAATTCAGCTTGGTGACTCAAGTTCAAACCTATATTTGATCTGTTACCCTGTCACTGGAAACAGTACATGTGCTTCCTCTGCCTTTGTAATTGTTTATATTCCTGACCTTCCCTGACACCAAAAATAATTCACACTCCCACCCTTACCAGCCCTTCCCCACACACACACACACACACAAAAGAGATTAAAAATACAGTTTAACTTTGTGCATTCTTCCCATGCAAAATTATAAAGCAAATTCATTAACTAAGATGTAACTATAAAGGCAAATTCTGCAAAAAGGCAAAAGATACATAATTATTTCTTTACCTTTTACCCTTAGTTTCTGCTAGTGTTGGTTATAGTTTCCTCATAATTCCAAAACACTTTGCACTGCCAGACATTTTTTCCTTGACCTCCCCTCTCAGAGAGTCAGCAGGAGGGGTAACAGGAGTCAAATTATTACTCCTCCCAAGTGAATGGGCCACAAACTCTTACAAAGGTGAAATAGTGGTGCCAAAATATGAAGTAACTTTGTAGTTATTCAGGTCATGAAGGCAGTAAGTAGACTAAGGAAAACTTTGTTAATCTCAGGAAATTTTCTCAACGCAGCCATGGAGTTACTATTTGAAAAATGTTTCTTTTGTTTTCATTTTTCCTTTATAAACGTTATTAAAGCCACTAATAATTCCTATAGGTACAATAAGACCTTTATAAATATAGATTACTAATATCATGTACATAAGATCCTTGACCTACAGACTTCATGTGACCCATACCCATCCTCAACCCTGGCTCCCATTTAAATTCTCGGGGTTCTTACCCTGTAAATTATAATATACAGATAATGCATCAACTGATCTTAGAAAGGTCCTCCCTTTAAGTGGGGTCATGGAAAGCTGCCTGAAGCCCTTAAAAGGTGACCTGAATCCAGGTAAAACAGTTCCAGTCTCAGCTCTGCCCCTTACTAGCTTATATTTAAACGCATCAGCTAACACACCTTTACATCTCATTATTCTCACCTCAAAAATGAGAATAATTGCTTTGTCTACTCCCGTAACCACCGATACCACTTTTAAGAACTATGATTTTTCTTAAAATTGCAAAAGCCAAAATGGGACAGCACACAGTTCTAACTCTCTGTGTGTCTCTGCTTTTTTTTTTTTATCTAAAAAACAAACAAACAAAATAATGAAACTTCATATCGTGTTGCTGAGAATATTAATCGTGATAATGTACAAAGTACCTAGGATGCAAGAAGTATTTGATAAATGTCCCTTCCCTTTTCCACCAATTTTTCATTTCATCATGGGCAAATTCCATTTGAAATGTTGGCAGTCCAAATCAGTACCATTTTACTGTCTCTCAGCTTCCTCTTGACGCTATTCATATCTCTTCCCACATCGCCTTCCTGTATTTCCTGGCCTTTTCTCTTTCAAAGGCCAAGGCCTTTTCCCATCTTCCTGACCTGAACCATCACTTTGTAGCCTACCAACGATGTCCCGCTGGCCAGCTTTAGCTACTCGGCTGAGCCTCAGTGACTCCGAGGCGGGACAGAGTTAAAGCAACTCCTGTCTGGGGCTGCTCACATCCAACCCAGACCCTTCCTGCTCATCCTCTTGGCTCTATGGCCTCAGAACAGAGCGAGAAGCGACGGCAACACTGGAGTGACGACATGTGATTCTCTCCCTTCCCCACCCTTCACATTTTTCTTTCCACGTGCAGAACCCGGAAGGCTCTGACCGCTCGTGCCCTGGCGGTTGCCATGGTTACACAACAGCAGCACCAGACCCAGGAGGGGTCTCGTCCCGTCTCCTTTACCTCCCCCACAACCCTTTCCATCCTTTAGTGAGCACGCCCCATCCCGCGCCCCCGCAGGGGAGGAGAACCTTTTCGGCTAAATTTGAGACTTTCCGTTCCTGCCCCCTCTTTTTCTCTTGCAGACACCACTGACAAGCTAAGGGAGGATGGGAGGGGCTTTGGTGGGGAAAGAAGAGCTCTCGTAGAGACATTTGCCTTTCATTACGGCTTCGCTCGGGGCTAAACGGCGAAAAGTTCGCCTATTTAACTCCAATCTCCGTAACTCGGAATTGGGGACCTCAGCGGCACCAGGCGCTGGCTGCGCAGCTCCCGTCCAGTCCCCTCGAGTTCAGCCTGGTGGCGGGAGCGCGGCGCCTCCTCCTCCTGTCAAGTACCCCCCGCGCGCTGGGACGGAAGCAAAGCAACTCAGTCCACGAGGTTGAACTCAAGTCGTGAGGGAAGGAAAATGAGCCTGTGCCGAAAACGGCCCGGGCGCTGCCAGGGCGGCCCATTAACGCGTCAACTCCAGGCGCGTGATGAGGGAGCAGAGGGGAAACACCGGCGGGGTTAAATCCACCCGGTTAAATTCCCAGCAGGAGTCAAATCCGGGCCTTTTCGGAGCGAGCCAAGCCGAGGGTACGGAGGGATGCCCGGCCCCCACAAGAGTACGTTTTGCAGGAGCCGCCTTTCCCAGTCAGCCAGCTCTGAGGCTGGTGTCTGCTTCCAACTTTGCCCTCAGAGTCTGGGAGGATGCACGCTCCCGTCAGACGGAGCGTCGCGGTTCCCTCACAGGGAAAAAGGCGTTGCCCATCCCTCCCCAAAAGCACCACAACACAAACAGCCGCCACGGTCTCCCCGTCCCCTCCCCCCAGCCCGTCGGGAAAAGGAGCGAGTGAGGGCGCAGACGCCCTTGGTCAAATCCTCGCCAGACTGTCCTCACCGACGCGTCTGCGAATGAACCTGCAGCCAGAGGAGCCACGGGGCACGTTCAGACGCGCTCGCGGCCGCCGGGGCCCTGGAGGGGGCGAGAGAGAGAGCGAAGTTCCCGGGCGCGTCTCGGGAGGAAAACTTTACGCGGCACGGAAAGCTCGGGCTGAGGAAGCGGCGGCGGCGAGCGGAGACTGCGCCCGCCGCCACGCTGTCCCCGCGCCGCGCGCCCGGACCGTCAGCGCCTCGGCGCCCAGTTCCCCGTCTGGCCCCCCCGCGTGCCCACTCCCGTCAGCTCCGGAGCGCTCTTTCCGCCCCAGAACGTTGCCTTATCTCCCGGCCGCTCGGCATTCTCACTTCGGACCCACGACCACCCCCAAAATCCAGTCACCCCTACTGGCCACCGCGGTCCTCCCACCGGAGCAGCAGGTGACCCGAAACCAGCCTTACCTGCCGCGAACTCTTCTCGCCCTCTCTCTGTGCCCGCTGTCTTTTCCGGGAGAGAGGAAGGGGATGCAGGCGGTGGGCGTGCGAGGCGGCGACCCAGGACACCGGCGCGACCTCCTCTGAGCGGCAGCCCTGGCTGAGCCGCGGAGCCGCCGGCGGCCCTGACGGAGCGTGGAGGCTGCGGCCGCAGAGGCCAGTCCGGGAGGCAGGGGGCGCTGCTGCCCCCCGAGCGTCCTGCCGGGAGCGGCGCGGAGCCAGGCACCAGCTGGAGCTGTGGGGAGGCGAGGGTGGCGAGGAAAGGCACGCTCGGAGCGGGAGGGCGGCTTTTAAGTTTGTGGTGTGACCGCAGCAGCTGTCCCGGGAGAGACTCAGTCTTTCTAAAAAGGGGATGCTCAGAACGCCGGGGATTACCTCTCCCCTTCCGATCTCCTCCCCCAGCCCTCGGCCCCCTCCCCTGTGCGCACGCCAGTCCTCCCCAGCGTGCAAAAGTCCATCCCAGTCGGCGCGCGGGCTGTCAGCAGCGTGGATTAAATGTAGCTCCGGCCGCGCTGGGGGATGTTTTTCCGGACAGGGCACTCTGTATGTAAAGGAATTTCTGACGTTTGAGCCCGCGCCCGGGTGGCTTTGGGGCCTGTTTATTCTATACCATAACGTCTCCAAGGACTCCCTGCCGAAAAAACAGGACAAACACTGTCTCAAAAACTCTAAGCCTCAAAAAGAGGAGCTGTGTTCCAGTACGTAAAACCCCGATCCACTGTTACTGGCCTCGAAAGAGCAGGTGTTGAGGATGAGCGACAGAGATCAGCCCTCCACTATGGGGCTGGCACCGAGGAAGGACCAAGCAGGAGGCCAACAGAAAACAAACACACGCACACACACACACAAAATGTAAGTCTTTTTTCCTCTCTACCTCATACCAGGCCAGCAGGGTTACGTCACTTATTCCTGTGTTAGATTTCCTTGTAGATTTGTACACAACTTGGTCACGCAGTAGAAAACTTGGAAGTGTATGGGGACCAGGGTGGATCCACATTTTGTGGAGCCTGGAACTCACACTATTTGGAGGTGGGATCCTCTTGAAAAAACTAATACAGAAATAGCTTAATTCTACAGATTTTAGAAAAACATATGACATATGAATTCATTGTCTGGCTGACCACAGGGACATGGAAAGGGCTTCTGCAAGGGATGAGTCCTGAACTGGGGCCTTATTGGCTACATGGTAAATCCTTGTATGATTGGAACTCTAGGTCTGTGGTCACACACCTTGCACTTATTAGTCCCAAACATAAAACTAACTTGGGGTGGAGCCATAGAAAAAAGCAGCCATGGGGTCCTGCATTTGTCAGGTTGACTTAAGAGCACAGCTCGTAAGGTCCCAGAGTTCCCTTGGCAAATGACCAGGGGGGTTTCGATTTGGGGGCAGCGAGCAGACAGTGGCAACAATGGAAGAACTGGTCTGGGGGAGGAGACTCTTCATTCAGCCTTCCCTCTGCAGCAGAGAGCTGAGGGCCACCAAAGCTAAATGAGTCATTTTAAGTTACAGATCGCTGGTGGCAGAGCCAGCTCAGGAGGGACTCAAGTTTCTTAACTCTGACCAAGTTTCTTTCCTGTGTCTCATACTGCCCCATCACTGTAACCTTGGTTTTGACTGTCAACCAACCAACCCCATAATTTTCCTCTTTGGATACAGGACAATTTAAAGCCCTACAGACTATTCCAATCTATAGCCACATTTTTTCTGAATGCTTTATATTCAGTGTTATACCACTCATTTTATAATTAACCACACACTTGATGTGTTTGTTGCATTTAAAACTATTTTTATATTATTTTTATTTGTTTATGCCATTGCCCCCAGTCCAAATTGCAATCTCATTGTGAGGACAAAATACCTCTTTTGTCTCCCAAAGCATAGCTTAGGGTTTTGCACATGGTGCGTTCATGATAAGTACTTTTAGATTTTTACTCTATTTATTAATTTTCTAATAATTTTGTCAGTTTATTGGCCAGAATATTGTATTTAATTAGAGTTGTGGTTAACTCTGGATTTCCCCTTTTTCCTTCCTGTCTAAAATCCTAGCTTAATATACTCAAGGCAAATGACATCTCCCTTTTGCTACTGTCTCAGCCTTTTCCACAAAGCCCCTGCAGGATTAATCACTCCCTCATGTTTTTCCAAAGCACTTTGATTTCACTACTAAATAAGTCCCTTTCATGTTATAGCATAATAAATTACGCATTTGTCTGCATCCCATACAGGCGTATTGCCTGTTTTGTGTTCTTGTTTCCCCAGCTCCTAAAACAGTGCCTATGAATTTGTATTGAACTGATTTGGTTTGAAGTACCCTGACTTCAAATTTAGACTGTATTTACTAGGGCATCCTGAACATACCATGAGAAGAACATCTGGAAACTGGGTTCTGTGCTTTCTTTCCTTTTAATTACTCTGAGCACGCAGCAGGCAGAGTCAACCACACAGCTCAGTTGTGATGAATGGCCTCAGCTGTGTCCAGGGCTTTGTAATCCTCATGATACTTCTCTAAGTGTCTTGCATATGATGGGTGTTTAACAAATATTTGGGGGTTAAATGAATTAATGAAAACAGTGGATGTGATAACAATAATTAGTCACTGAATTATTTCTGAAATTTCTGCTAACTCTACAGGATCCCACCAGTATGGTTTTATAACCCTTTTTAAGAGTTTGAAATTTACTGTTACCAAAAGCAATTTGGTAATCTGTCCTATAGTGTTGCTTAATACACTATCTGAATCCTTGAAATAACACCTAGTAGGAAAGGTCTATTTTACTTTAAGTTTTGTTAAAATGTAATGTGTATTATACAGTTTAGCTTATCTTCAAGGGTGACTATTCAAGATTCAGTAAATAATCCTTAATTACACTGAAAGAGATGTGTGTATCATCAGTTAGAACTACCTAATTGTTGCTGCTATGCCTGTTCTGGTCTGAGGGGTAAAAAAGAAAGAAAAAGGAAACACAAAACACTTTCCAGGTGCTTGGAAACATTGTTGAATGAGCAAACTTGTCTTGAGGGTCCAGGTTCTTCCTCTGTGGCATACCACCCCTCACTCATCTTCATTTAGGGCTCACAGATTGAATGTAAGTCATTCTTACTGTATGGTAGTAGATTTATATTAGATAATATGAAATACACTGTTTCTCAAAGTATTACATTGTTATACTGAGTGAAGCCAAGGAATAAATTTCTGATTGTAGAATTTCAGGAATCATCAATCTATGTTGGGAGCCATAAAGGAAGGTAGCAGGGATGGGAAAGAGTAGAATAGTTATATTCTAGGCTTTTCCAAATCCACATATAGCTACCTCTGCCCAGAAGACAGGAGAAAGATAATTACTGGGTCCAGAATTTAAATCTAGCAGGATCTCAGAGGATTTGACTACACTTTCTGCAGAAGGTGCTTTTCTGTGCAGTCTTCCATTCACAAAGCATATGGAAATTTGGTGAATTTAAAAGGAAAAAAAAAAAAGACAGATAAAAGAGATCGCAAAGTTCTGTGCACAGAGACAAGAAAATGGAGATGAAACCCAAGCCATTTAGTGTTCACTTCTATAAAACTAATCATACCTTGGTCAGACATAAAACCTCTCTGCCTTATAATAAATACTACCTTATGAATGTTTTCTCACATATTAACATAACAGTACGAACAGATAAAAATGTTGTTATACTCATATGACAAAACTGGGATATATGTTAGTTTATGTCTGATTGAAACAAGTGATGGCATGAGTTGAAAGCAGCCTACCCACCTCCTACTCTTCTATCAGATATTTTCCCCTTATAAACTGCAGATTTTTTTTCCCCATCTGATTCATTTGATCATGACAATTCACTCATCACTCGATCACTAGCTAGTTACATATTAAGATAATTATATCATGTTTAGTAGTGGAAAAGAACACTCCTGACTTTTGTCTTTAATGCAGTATTAATTATACATGCATAGAACTCTCAGAAGTAAATGGATCCCTGTTTCTCATCATCAAATAAAGACAGAAGATAGTTTAGGTTAGTTAATCGGAATGTGAAATTGTAATGTCTTTGTGTTTTAAACTCTTATAACATCATAAATAATCATAAACTTTCAGAGTTAGGAGAGACCTCAAAGCCCTTCTGGCCCTCATGTTATACATGAGGAAAAGAAGGCCAAGAAGGTGGAGTGATCACCTAGCTCCTTCTGACTCCTGCCTCAATGCCCTCTGCAAAATAGCACCCTGCTATAGAGCCTTTTCTTGAAAAAGAAAATAGAAAAAGAAAAAAAAAATCAGCTATTTTTCAAAACCTTTCCAAGACAGAATCTTAAGGTTATATTTACTTAGCTGGGTTGGGGTGTGGTGAATAATTAAATTCAGCAGGAATGCACTTCAAAATAAAAATAAAAACATAGCCCAACCCCTTTGGCCCAAGTCCTGAGACCTCAGAAGAGAGCACCTCCTTGACTATGAACATTCACTAGAGGCTGGAAAGGCTTTTTGTATCTGATATAGGACTCCACAGAGTTATTGCAGAATGGGGGAGTTTAAAATCAAATAAATGACTCTGTTTCTTATTTTTAACAATGTTCTTATAGCAACAAACCATCCCCAAGGAAAGATTTTAAGGAAAAGTAAACAACTTTTCTATATATCATATAAGAGAAAAAATCTTTAAATTTGCTTTTCTTAATACCTTGTACCACCACGCCACCCTTAGAACATGCTTTAGACACAGCGTATTCTTCTAAGAAAATGGGAGAGAGGGAGGGATTCCTATGGTACCTAATTGAGGCAAGCCTTATTTATTTAAGGGTGATGAAACCAAGAAAAATATGCCCTCTTGTGGCTTACTTGTTCTAGTTCACAACTAATCAACAGTGCTCCATTATTTCCTGAAACTCAAACATACCTATATTCCAAGTGGAATTAAACTATTCCTTTGTGCAGTAACTAGAGAGAACAGGTCTGTGCAGACAGCAGGAAGGCATTCCAAGACTTCTGCTTTGTTCAAGGTCATAAGCAGCAGCTTAGCCACAATGAAATCAGTACCCCTCAAAACGGGGAAAGATTTTCCAAAATAACCCACAGATTCTTACAGATATTATAAAAATACCTTCCAAATAAATGCATTAGATAGAATTTCTTTCCTAAATAGTGAGGTTTATGTTGGACAAACTTAAACCATCAGTTTCCACAAATAGGAGAAAATTCATGATTTCCTTTCCTACCGTATTTATGCCTCTAAGATTTCTTTAGCTGTGGGATGATGCCTATTTTTCCATTAAAAAAGTAAAATGTGTAATAATGCAGTTAAGAGAATCCTGATTTTCATTCTCTTCATATTTTTTCTCTCCTTTCCTCTTGTTTCTTCAGAAATAAAAATATCACAAATGTGTTACATCCTATGATTTACAGGTATAATTAATTTCACTACAAAAAAAAAATGCCCACCACGTTGTCCTAAAACAGCAGAGTGGAGATGGGCTTAATGGGAAATGACCTCTGCTGATCAAGAGAGTGACTTTCATGTAACTGTCATTTAAATAACTTAGTAACTAAGTGAATGTCAAAGGTTTAAAACAGGCCAGAATGCTAAATCCTTAGTCCAACCCTATAATAATAATATTAATAATTATGATTAACACTGTTATTATTTTATATACAAAAAATGACTTAAATCACACATTTTCCATTTGACTGGATCTGCTTGTGTATTAAGTAGGCTGGTGGGCCGTTTCCTAATCTGCAGCCTTACTTTAGCAAGTTGCTGCTGAAATAGACTGAATTGTATCTCACTTACCAGAAGGAATAAATACAGTTTTCCAAAATGCCCAGTTTAACATGGAGCTATTGTTTTTCTAAATTAC